AGGACCTAGCCAAGCCTTGTCAGAATTCTGACCAAAGGAGCTGTCAGATAACAAACAGGTATTATTTGAAGCCATTTGGTTTACAGTAATTTGCTGTGGCAACAACAGAAAACATACATGAGACAAGCCTGGCTCCTGTCCCATCATGTGGCCTCTCAGCACCTCAAATGCACCCTCCAGGTCCCAGCCAAAGTACTTTCTCCAGTCAGGCTGCTCTCCTCCCTGTATCCCCACACATGATGCTTTCCTTTTTCTCACCACAGACAGTCTGCATTTCCCTTAGGCCTCCCCCCATCCCTGCCTTCCACAAACCAGTGGAGCCCTGGACACTTTCCAGCTAGTACTTGATTATGTCTTGCCTTACTTAGTACTAAGTCCTTCTAATCTTTCTTCTAACTCCTGAAGGATGAAGACCTTGTCCCGTGCCTCCTTTGCAGCTCCATAACACCTGTCATTACATGTATTGGGACCCTGATAAACACTTACTCAGAGAAGCACTGATTCAATCCATCCAGCCAAACCGTGCAAGATCTTCACCCATGCAGCCTACATGCAGGACACACTCAGAGAGAGGAGGCAAGGCTTCAAGTACTTCTAGCTGAAACAACTCCATGGATTTTTACTGGGGTTTGCAGTTTTTCAAGCATTACCAAATATATTATCTCATGTAATTTTTACAAAAAAAACATGAGATACACAAGGCAGGTATTTTTTAATTCCCAGTTTTTATAGCTGAGAACACAGAGGCTCCAAAAAGTTCAGAGATTTGCCTAGCTAGCAAATCTGCCTCGTGATAAACCCTGCCACACTGTGATGCTGTCACAGTGTGGGGCAGAGATGCTGCTCTGAAGATCTGGGAAAGAGCTGGGAGAGAAACAACACGGCGGAGCCCTGAGCTCTGGGAAGCACCACTGCCGTGAAATCAGACTGTTGCAAGGTTTCCAGGCAGTTCGATGTAACTGGTTTAACCATGTCTGTTTCTCCACTGCTTCCCCAGGCTTCCTCTTCCTCTTTCTCCATGTTTTCTTACAGGAAAAGTTCTTCTGTTTAATTTTAAAGCTAACAACGTCTAGGTCTAAAGCATTCCTGCTCTAGGGGAAAAAAAACCCAAACTCTAATTCCAACAGTATGATCATTAAGATACAGATGTGAATACCTTCCCTGGGGCATGATGAGATGGCCAGAGCGCTGGCCCTACGTTAGAGGAGCTGGTTTATGGCCCCAGCTCCACCTCTACTCAGGCTTTGCAGAAACCACTGCCCTTGATTCGTCCACTCTGAGAGCAAGAGCCTGTTTCACACCTATGTTTGTTGTGAGCATGAAGTGAAATGGCAAATCTAAGCCTTCTGACAGCTACACAGGGCTATACACATTGTAAATGTCAAATTCCTCACCTCAACCACTATCACCCCAATTACTAGCACTAAGGCAAATCTGCCTGCTTCACCAATAAATATCCCAGGCTCCCAGCCGTACTCTCAGGATGTACTGTTTTCCTCCGGTGATGCTGGCTGTGGCATTCATTTAGGCTGATTTCACCTCATTCAAAATACTACTGGTAAACAGGGTACAATGAAGGAGTAAGTGTTGAATTTACCCGAAGTCCTACACAGACCCAGAGGGGTCCCTATGTTTGCCTTGACCCTTCCATAAGATTATCAGAGCAGAGCTAAAAAACAATGGCTGACACAAATGCAGAAATACCGTCTACTCTGATGCCTCAGTACAAATACAAGGGGTCACTATGAACCAGAAGAACTGCTTCCCATAACTGACTGACTCTACACAGGAGCTTCTACAGTGCTGAATGCACATCAATATCTGGGTTGAATTTAACTTTCCCCTACTCTCCATAGCCCTTTTGAGAGTTTAGATCAGATCAGTAAGGGGTGCTTTCAGATTCAGGTCTGGAGTTCTCTGTTGATGATCTGTCATATGGAAATTTATTACAAATCTAACAAGGCCATTTTACTTTAGTAAATCTATAGTTGGTTTTCTGTGAATATTTTTCATAATTCTGGAAGACTGAGTGCTCTTTAAACCTGTCCATGGTTATTCAGATAAGCTTCATGATCACTAACTTCAATAAAAACTGCCTGACAATTTTTCTTTTTATAATAAATTTTAGGCCATGTGTAGACAATGAAAGTTTAAAGACATGACAATATCTTTCTAGATATTATAGTTAAAATAAATTATGGATGAAATGTGGACCTCTTTACTGTGCAAGCCTGAATTGCATTTTGGAAACATATTGGATGACTCCCAAAGCTCTAGTCTTGGTTTCTCACCAGAGTTCTTGTCTAAAGGTACAGATCTGGGGAATACGATGAATTCTGTTTTAAACACACCAGGGTTGTGATAAGAATGAAAGTAGATAAACAAAAAGGAAAGCTTTCTAACTGATTTTTGGGCAAACCACTTATCTCTTTGAGCATTAGTCTCCATCTGTACAAAAGAAATACTTGCCTTGTCTATTTCACAGGAGTATTATGAAATGAAATGACCATATGAGAGAAAGTTTTGCAAACTGTCAAATTGTATACACTTTATTATTATGTATAAAATCACCTTATATCTACTGCTACCACCTCAAGTGGCATGCAGAATCCTTGATATCTCTAAACTAGACTCTCTTCCTTTAAAACTAGCTTTTCCTCCAGATGTTCCTGTTTATGCTGATAGCACCTCCATTATCCCAGGCATCTAAGCTTAGAAACTTGGGGTGTGCTAGAAAGGTTGCCCCTCCACCCATTCTGATCCATGAATGATCAGTTCACTTGATCTTAGCCAAAAGGCCGAGAAGCAATCATGAATGATCAGTTCAAATTTTAAAACTTCAAAAGATAAATTGACCAGGTCAAACTCTTGCTCAAAAATCTTTGACAATAACCAATTGTTCTTGAACAAAGGGGCCAAAACACAAAGTTGTCCCCAAGACCCTGTCCTGTCTGGCCTTGCCCACCCTCTCACTCAATCGTATGCTCTCCTCTGTCCCTTCCACACTCCAGCCACACAGCCTTCTTTGGGCTCTCCAAAGCCCCCTGTTCTTCTAGCTACACAAACCTTTGTCCATGTTGTCCCTTTGCTGGAACTGCCAGCCCTGGTCATCCTCTGTGACCATCTCCAGCTCCATGTCCTCTGCAAAGCCACCCTGCACTTCCTGCCATTGCTCAAGTTCTAGTGTAATGGGGGTGCACAGAAACATATCCTTTTCTTGAGGTCACTTATCTTTTGAAATGACGGGTTATATGCAGTCTCTCTTTGCTTTCTCAACTATAAAGTTCATTTAGCAGTTCATTCCTTCAACTTACCTAAAGTTCAGCAGTGATTCTGTTTTTACTCCTACACTATAATCTCAATGTGTAGCACATAATGGGTATTTTTTAAATGAACGAGTAAATCAGTCAATCTTGAGATCTTCTCCTCTCGCTGTGTATTACATATATATGTGTGTGTATAAAATATAACCCCTATAATATTTATGATATAGTAAAACAATAATAGCCATGGTACTTCTATGTTAATCTTTTGTTCTTTTGAAAAAAAATTTTTCTAGGAAAGTACTGTAATTCAAGCACAAAGATTAGCATGCATACTCAGTGCTTTGGAAAGAGGTTTTTGGCTGTTGCTATTGTTGTTCTTCATTTTAGGGGTGCTAGAAAAGGAGTCTGCTGTTTGGAGGGAGTTTGGTATTAAATGTGAAATACAAAGCAGCCCCGGGAGAGCTTGCATGCTTCACTGAACATGTGAGGAAAGGATGCAGGTCTGACCTTGGGATATAAACCAAATTTTAGAATTGTGTACCCCTAAATATTTTGAGCCTCATATTTACAGCCCTTTATAAAGCTTTTTCACATTCCTTATATTAATAAGACAATCAAATGCAATAGTTAAGGAATGACCTAGGTGTCCTCCAGACCTCTGTTTGAATCATGGTTCAGTCTTTTGTCAACTATAAGATCTGGGGCAGATTGAATAACCATATCTAACCTCAGTTTTCTTACCTGTAAAATGGACAAATACAGAAACAGTCCCTACGTCATAAAGTCATTGTGAGAGTGAAATGAGACATTCAGCAGTGTGCTTTGCCACATCATAAGCCCGTGAAGTAGGCAGGACAGATAACCGTGGCCCCGTGTAACTGCCTCAAATGGGTTAAGAGCACACACAACTAGTGTCACAAAGCTGGGGACCTGAATAGAAGTCAAACAGTTGCAAATCCCCTGTTAATTCTCAGTTTAATTAAATTCCTGGCAGAAGAAGGTACTTCATAATGTAGTTTTATTGTTCTTCCAAACTATAATCTAAGCAGCAAATGATGTCTGAGCTCTTTAAGCCAACTGAAACACGAGAGAATTCATACCAATTCTGGTTATAAAATCCTATTGTGTTGAGGAAATAATGGTCCCCACAGTCACAGGCAAAATCTATGAAGCCAAAGAGGCACTGAGGTGTAGTCCTCAACAAAACAGGGAAGACTCCCTAGAACATAATCTGCACCACAAAGACGCCAGCGTTCTAGGACTGGGGTCAGTCAGCGGCAGCCTGGGTGCCAAAGTGGGCCCTGTCTTGGTAAGTAAGGCTTTACTGCAGCAGAGCCACACCTGTTCGTTTGTGTACAGTTGTGACAGAGAGAGTGTGGTCCATAAAGCCTCAAGTATTTGCCAACTGGCCCTTCACAAAAAAAGTTGCTGACCTCTGTTATAGAAGACATATAACAGGGAAAAATAAACCCTGAAAAAATCTTAAAATGCAAAACTTTATTCCTAGAGTTCTTTCTTCACACCTTCAGTCCCATGAAAAAAACCCTTTTTTGTGAAGTAGCAGGTGAGCCAAATTTCCCAAAATGAAATGAACATCAGGGCCTTCAAGGTGGGAGGGATTTTTCCCAGAAAAGTTTATGATCCTGATGTTCGACTACATTCATCTCAGTGGTCTCACTATCTTTAACTCCCCTGGTTATGAAATTCTGCATTTTATACATATGAAAGACTCACTGGACTCTTCTCTTCTTCAAGGAGTGGTGCTGGTCTAGAGCCTTTCCCCAATTCTTCCTCTTCTGCTGCTTTCTTACAGATATTCTGAGTCTCCTGGGTATCTGGTGCTTGCAGATCATAATATTGTGATTTAATTTTCAAGCTATTGGCGAAGTCTTTGGACTGAGTTTTTCTGAAGAGAAACAAATGTGGAATTATCAAAAACATTCTCCAACATGGATAGCTTTTCCAAAGCAGATATCTACATTCAAATTATGCGAAAAACAGTAACAGATACCATTTACTGAGTGCTTATAATATGCTAAGCCCTTAGCTAGTACTTAAAGCCATTAACTTAGGGGCACCCGGGTGACTCAGTTGGTTAAGCATCTGACTCTTGATTTCGACTCTGGTTGTGAGATTGAGTCCAGCATTGGGCTCCGTGCTCAGTGCAGGGACTGCTTATCCCTCTCCCTCCACCCCCCACCCCCCCAACACATGTGCACGCTTTCTGTCTCTCTCAAATAAATAAAATCTTAAAAAAGAAAAGACATTAACTTAATCCTCATAACAACCCTGTAAGGAAGGGCTTGTTATCCTTGCTTAATTGCAAGAGGCTCAAAATAATTATATTATTTATCCAAGGCCACATTGTGGCACAGCCAGGATTTGAACCCAGGTCTGCCCAACTCCTTTTCAGAAGCTAAACTACTAGATCACGCTGCCTGATGAGCAGCATACAATTCCTTTATCTCTGTATGCCCAGTTATTGTTTTAGTTACAGGAGTTGGTGGGCATCATCAGCAGCCCTCGGGACATGAACCAAGGTCCACATGTCTGCTTCTATCTCATCAGCTCAGATAGGGCTGTCAACACTCAAGGGATAACAGGCTTCACAGAAGTCACCCTGGGCCCACAGCAGAAGGGATCCATCATCTGCCTCACTGCTACCAGACAAGTTACCTTCCTTTATCTCCAGTTGATTGTGTCACTTCCTTATTCAAACACCTCTACTGTCCACAGAACAAGGTCCAAAGTCCTAAATCTGGCTTTCAAGGCACTTCAGAGCATGGCCCCCTGTCTCCTGCTACTTGCCCAGGTATACCCCAAACATTCAGAAGAAGTCATTGTCACCCACAGAACCAGACATATTCAAAACTAGGGGTCTTGATTATGCCCTCTGCCTGCAATTTCCTTCCTGACATTCTGTAGCTGGAAAACTCTACTTATCTTTCAAGGTTCAATTCAGATTTCACCTCCTTTGTGGATCAGAATAATGGGCTCAGGTAATGCTCTGTTTATAACTTAGTTGTAGCACGTATCACAGCCTGTATCGGCTGAAGGTAGTTGTGTACCTGACTGTTTCTCCTTCTACTGGAAGCTTCTTGTTCATCTTTGAATTCCTACCACCTAGCATAGTGTAAGCACCTAGAGGGCCTGCTTACTCAGCTGCCCACCTCTAGACAATCTTGTTTGAAGACCTGAAGCTTGAACAGCTGCTACATTTCTCACTTATATTCCTGATGCTCAGCTGTGTCAGCTTTGGTGCTCTGGCATGATTCTAGTGAAGCCAGTGATCACAGGGGAAACCACATCCAGATCAAAACTTGGATGACAAGCCAGGAAGTGAAACAGCTGATCTGATCACATTGTGGGAAGGAAGGGAACCACCAAAAGTGTAAAGAAACTTGCCAGAGAGATCTATAGTGACTTCTGTGACTCTCAGATCCCACCCCACTCTCCCTCCAGATACTCTGAAAAAGAGGCATCTTTGCATCATTTTATAATCTGGCCAGCCTCTCACGGGTTTGCAGATCTCATACCTGAGCTCTTCCGCTTCCCGCTCTGCTTTCAGCTGGGCCCTCTCAGCAATAACTTCATTACAGATCACATCGTAAGGTTTGTCTAGATGGTGTTCGCCCATCACCCAGACCCAGACTTCCTTATCGGCTCCCAGTTTCCAATGAACAGATTTGCCGTTCTCTGCAAGCAAAACAAAATTTGGATTGGACAAATATCTTTAGTCATGGGTTATTATGTTTGCCATCATTAAAGTATTTAGGGTCTTTAGGAAAAAAAAATGTTAGATGAGACAAAGCACTTCCAATCTCCTCAGGAAAAAGCAACAGTCCCAGGGAGCAATGGAGGTGGTAGCAGTGGGGGGTGGCTGCAGCAGTGTTTGTTTTAAAATATGAATATGAGGGCTCCTGGGTGGCTCAGTTGGTTGGATGTCTGCCTTCAGCTCGGGTCATGATTCCAGGATCCTGGGATCGAGCCCTGTGTGGGGCTCCCTGCTCAGTGAGGAGTCTGCTTCTCGCTCTCCCTTTGCTCCTTCCCCTGATCATGCACTCTCTCACTTTCTCCCCCATGCTTTCTCTCTCTCAAATAAATAAATCTTTAAAAATATATATTTTTGAATGTGTCCATTTTGTAACTAAAGAAGGCAAGATGGGGAGAAAGCATGCAGTTTGTGGTACCATCAGCTATCAGAATCTCTAAGGTCTGAGAATCTTCTGGAACCCCAGAAGTACACAGCTGCTCCAGGGTTTGGTACTTCCATTTTAGAATTAGACTGGCTTTAGTTTAAATCCTAGCCCTGCCACTTACTAGCTGTGTGACTTGGACAGATTATTTAATCTCTCTGAGCCTCAATTTCCTCATCTGCAAAATGGGAATACAACCACCTACAATGCAGGACTGCCATGGGGAGCAGGCTACGCCAGCTATTTCCCCCAGTGCCTGCCACATAATAGGAGTTCATAAGAGGTTAGGTGCTACTGTCGCCCTACTGTTTACTTCTAGGGCTGCTCGGAGATTCACACCAGCTTGTGAGAAGATACTACTACTGGTAGTGTGATACTTGGTGAAGATACTTAAATGAACCTTGTTTACAATTGGTCGCAGGGGTTGTGTTACATTCTAGTTCCTGGACTTCTGAGATGCAGCCACACAGGTCATGCTCCCTGAACCCCGGGGGAATGTGGAACACACCCAGGAGAGGCCAAATGTGCAGTCCCTAAATCTAAAAGCCCCCAGGCAGCCCTACTGAGGGCCATTATGGTCCATGTTGTGGTCAAGATCCCTGGGCCTTACAGACCTTAAACTGGCCAGTGGTGTTGAGTGTGGGTAAGAGGGCCCCTGACGGAACACAGGTGTTTAGAGGTTAGAAATCCACACTGGGATTGTGTCCCGTCTTTGTACGTTAAGTAGAAGGTTTCCAATTAAAGCATCTTCTGCCAGTGAATTGTTGACCTACTTCCTACTGTTGCCTCAGGATACATTAAAAAAGCAGGCTGCTCAAACTCAGATGTGTTCGTTATTTTGGCACTTTCTACCCTCCTCAGGGCAATAAAGACTTTATACAATGTAATAAAATTCTAAATAGGATACTGGGGGAGGGGGGAGGGGAGACAGAATCTTTACTCTAAGAGGCGGCAAATGTATCACTCAGAAGGCAGCTGACCTCACACTACCTTCCCAAGTGGAGAAACAGTGAAAGCAGCCCCAGGTATGAAGGGAAGATCAATCCCAAGTGTGCCCTCATGGGGATGGGCCTTGGTCAGCTCTGGCTCTGTCTGAGGAGATGCCAAATGGTCCACTAACTTTAGAAAGTTGTCATACTTCATAAAACTCCCTTTATTACACTCTCTCAGGGCATCTAATAATATTTTTTACTACATCCATCTCTCAACCTTCACCTAAGTAACTCTCTACCAATATTTTTGACAGCAGGAGAAAGAAGCCCTGAGAGGAGAGTGGCAGAGGGCTAGGGGAGCAGAGAGGGAGGACCCAGGGATTCCCGCAGCTTTGCTCAGTATGGCAGGACACATTCTCTGGGGAGCGCCCCAGGCTCTAGCCTGGGGTTATCACTCTTAGGGGAAGAAGGTGTTGCCCTGAAGGGTGAGGTGGGGGAGAAATCCCAGAATCGCCTGTGAACAGAGGGTGCTTAGAAATTATAAGTAGAGAAGACTGCCAAAGGAGAGGGCTAGAGCCTTGACATTTTAGAAGCAAGGGAGTGGTAAGAGTATGGTGAAGATAAGGAAATTATGGTTTGGAGGCAAGAAAAAAGAGAACTGTCAGATTTAGCCAGATGCCAAAAGAAGGGCTCTTGACAGAATGGCACTGACAATAATCTCTGTGTTGAGTGCTCCTCACCTTTGGGAGCTCTTCAATGTTGCGTGAGAGCACAGAGATTGGAAGGCCTTCAAGGGCTTCCCCATGACTCCCTAAAACTTAGTGGAGGCTGCTGGAGAAGTTATTCTAGTAAAATGAGTGTTAGCTCCAATACCCTCAGTTTTACACCAAGATGGGGGAAGACTACTCAGGCCTCTGTGTAGTTCATACCACAAAAACTTGTTGAGTTTCTAACTCTGAGAACTATGTGGATGAGCTAAATGCTGCAGGCGATACAGGGATAAAACAGATGTGGCCATTTTCCTGCATAGAGTCTGCGAGAGAAAGAGCAAGGCATTATGTTACTTACTTTAATGAATTTTATTGCATATCTATGTACCAGGCACTGAGGTAGATGTGCTTAAGTGCTTATGAGTAAGACAGACCAGCCCCTGCCCTCCAGGAACTTATATTCTAGTTGGAGACAGAAACTGAACACTTAATTATAAAAGTAATACAACTGGGGAAGAGGATGTGAAAGGGTACTATGGAAATGCGTAAGAAGAAGAACTGATCAGTTTGAAGGACCATGGGAACATACATTATAACCACAATAGATTTTAAATCCAGTGAGGATTCGTGGAATGGAGAAATTGCTTTGGAAGCACACAGAAGAAAAAAGAAGTTCTTTGTATTGAGTTTTGGAGGATGGACATGGAATTTAGACAGAGAGTAGGGTGTAAGTTTGGTGACCTACACAAAGATGGTGTGCTCAAAGATTGGAGAAGGAAATCAGTGAAGGGCCATAGGGAATCAGAGTCTCGGTGAGAGCTGAAAAGAGCTTTAGATGTCACCTGGCCATGGATGGGCTGAGGATCATGCAGGGTGCAGAGAGCCACAGGCGCAAGTCCCAGACCCCTGTTAAATGATTTAAACTTAGGCCCTGCACTGCATAAAGCCAGAAAGTGGTGTTAAAATCCGTGTTTCTACCAACTCTTTATGTGACCATGTATATACCTTATCTCTCTGAGCCTGAGTTCCCTCTCTGATAAAACAGAGGTAGTAAGTCAGACCTCACAGGCCTTTCACATGATAAATGCTCAAAAATATTAGTTCCATGTTTTTTTTTTTTTTTTAAAGATTTTATTTATTTGACAGAGAGAGAGATAGCGAGAGCAGGAACACAAGCAGGGGGAGTGGGAGAGGGAGAAGCAGGCTTCCCGCGGAGCAGGGAGCCCGATGTGGGACTCGATCCCAGGACCCTGGGATCATGACCTGAGCCGAAGGCAGACGCTTAATGACTGAGCCACCCAGGTGCCCTAGTTCCATGTTCTTGATTAAATGACCAATGAAGAGTCCATGACTGTCTCCGTGCAGATGGTGCCAGGGTCAGAGAAGTGATTTAGGAAGTACCATGCCACATCAGCATGTGGAGTGGATCAGAGAAGTAGGAGGGAGCTGTCTAGTGGCTGAGTGGGTACAGAATGGGGGAGACATGAGGGGGGAAAGACCAGGAGTGAGGTACCCAGGGCCCGAATGAGGGAAAGGTCAGTAAGATTCAGGTGGCTGAAGAGGAAGGACTCAAAGATGATGCCAACATTTTGAGACTTCCTAACTGAGAGGATGGCGGGGTAATAAGCAAAAACAGTGACATCAAGAAAATAAATTTGTTGGAACTGTTTTGGAAATGAAGAATAAATTATTTTTAATTTTACTAACAATCTACATGGAGAGCTTCAGTAGGTATCTGAACTATAGCACTGGAGTTCAGAAATGCTGTGGAGACCGACAGTGTGAATTTGGGAATTACTTTATAGCTGTCATCATTGAAGCCACTGGTGTAGAAGAATTGCAAAGGGAATGAAGCCTAGTGAGAACCTTGGAAAAGCACGTGCTCCATTCGGGAGGCAAAAGGGAAGAAAAAGAACATCCTGATTAAAACAGCAAAAAAAAAAAGGATTTCTGACTCCTAAACACAAGATAATACAGGAGCCTGGAGAGAATGCACTGCCATGCAGTCAAGAGAGATGGTGCCCCATGCCCTGGAGACATAGAAAGGGGGATGGAGACCCCTGAGGAGGGTCTCAGAAGTCTCTGACCTCAGAGAGTATTTTTAGGGAGACAGGTGGGGGACAGGCTACAGAAGCAGGACAGAAAGGATGGTAAAAGGTGGAGGTTGTAAGTAAGTATGTGCTCTGGGGAAGTTTATTAGCAAGGAAGTAAAAGAAAATTCAGTTATTTGTTCAACAAATATTTACTGAGCATCTGCTATGCTCTAGGCACTTTACTACAGGCCTATGAGACATAAAGGGCAGCTTAGGAGTATGGACGGTTGAAAGATTTCTTTAAATAGAAGAAACAGGGACAAGTTTTACACTTGGGGTTTGGGGAGGGGAGAGCAGAAGGATGCCAGGGACCAGAGCAGGGGAATGATGGCAGGAGGAGCATGCAGAGAATAGGTAAGGAAGAAATGTTGACAAGAAGAGGAGAAAAAGCTCCTGTCTGCTAAGAGCTGAAAACTGATAGACCTACACCCACATTTCTGTCCCCAGTGTACTTCCTCAAGGTAAAGGTATACACTTAAGAGATCCTACTGGGGCAGGTACTGCATCTTATAATTTAATGCTATCCACACATTCTGGATTTTCTGTCTACTTCACCTTGAAATTATATGCAGTCTTTAATCAGAGGACAGTAAGAGAGGGACCTTTTCATAGCACTTCCATTTAATTATAAGGTTTGTCCCCAGTCCTTGAATCATGTTTATATGCTACAGTGTTCTTCATGTTTGCTAGCTTAGGGATTCTTGAGAACTTCTAAAACCAACTTTTCTAGAACAGTAGATCAGTCCTGCTTCGTACCACACCACA